AACCCCGACGAGGCGGGCGAATTCGCGGCTCCAGAACATCTGATTTCTATTGTCGTCCGCCATTGCGAGAATGTTAAAAGATGTCGAAATAGGGTTTCAGGGTTAGCTATAGCCTCCTCCCGGTAGTTCGAATAGAGGGCAGGCTTTTATAGTAGTGGAGGTAAATTGGAGGGCTCCAAGAGCGCCGTGAATACTACCGACAAAGGGATGCATCGCGGATCGTGGTTTCCTTACTTTTCATATAAAGAGTCTTTGTTTTTACTGCGCCGTTGTTGACGGTTGGAACATCGAGAAGAAAGAGCCCGGTATGCGAGTGATTGTTCGGATTGTTCTAATAGTCCAAGTATGTATATAAAGAACAAAGGTTGTGGACCTTAACAAAAACTCTACTACGAGATCAAACGGTACAAAAGGCGATTTTTCCAGAATAGTCTTGAGAGACCCTAACTGGATCATGACTCGCGCAACAGCCCAACGGTCAATTTGATAAATCACATGAAGGCAACATCTTGAGGATGTATGTGCTGCTTAGAGTTTAACTTGCACTCACATAGGGTTTCTTTCGGCGTTAGGTTTTGTGCTCGTGGAGGGGCTGTTAGTAAAATGAGATACCAATATTTTCCATACTGGCAAATGTCATGTTCCGATATAGATTCTATAAGTCATGGAAGGAGGGTGTACTAAGACTGAGCATCCAATAAGGGCCTCCCAACCTGCAGGATGGGCCCAGCTGAGGCCTGGAGCACCTGCAGGCATTTGCCATGAGTCACGGCTGATCCGGCCTATCATCAACGCGGGCGGCCGTTCTCAACACGACTAGCAGGGAAGATGACGATATCCTTCGCCTGGACTCTTAAAGGAGGGGGAGAAAAGTACCGTTTCATGGTGGTGATGGTTGTGGTGGTGGTGATCCTGCTGCTGCTGGTGGCGGCCATCCAAGACGACAGAGCGGAATTTATCATTTCCACCATCGCATGCAGCACGATCAGCATAACAAGAAAAGAACCCATGACGTGCAGCATTTGCTGGATACTTCTATACGTTTCTGTATGTAGGGAAGTGGATTGATCCACTCTACTTCAATGACAGTGACGGGCAAGCAGAACATGTCTCTTTGAACCAGACGGACAGACGGCGGCAAAGGGGGGTTTGGCTGCAGAACCGGCGCATACCTGCGGCCAATCAGGCTTGTGGGAACTAGAAGTTCAATGTTGGGCAACAGCGCTGAATGGCGGTTAGGCTGCAGCGATGTTCGTCCTGGACTGTGAAAGCCTGGGCCTGAACACAGCAGCAAACCCGCTAGCCGGTCGGCCACATGCAGGTAGAGTGCACCATGACGGCGGCCTTGCTTTTCCTTTTTTCTTCATCTTCCATCTGATTGTCTTGCTCAACCGTCATCGCCCATCCAACATCAGATCAGACTTTTTACTGCCGCCTGGTTACTCCGGGCTGTAGTTGCTCGTCGCCTTGGGGGGATGTTGGGTTTTCTTACTTGCTGCTGCATCGCCCCATTCCATTGCGGCTGAGGAAGGCTGCCTGCGATACGAAGCCCGGGCAAACACGCGGCCAGAGAAGCAGTCGCGAAGCCCGCGACTCAGTAACGACTATCATTCATTCAGAAGAGGGGGGTGGATATAAAAAGACGCAGGTCAAAGGGGCGAATGACAATGCGCCAAAATGGCCAGGGCAGTTCTCCTTGCCCATGCCCGGGCGATGTCGCGCCCTGCTAATTCCGTCTTGCGCAGCGACGGAGGGACCTGCGCGCTTTTCCCCTGGTCCTTTCATTTGAACGGCGCATCGTGATTGAACGATTGCCATGGTCACAAGCAAAGACTCCAGTAGCTCCGCGACCATGATATCCCGAATCTTTTGGGGTTGGATGGTTGCTTCTGCTGGGCATGCAGCTTTCCAAACCTAATGGCAAGGCAGAAAGCACCAGGGATCTTCGTCTCCTGAAACAATCTTACACCATGATTATTGCCGGTAGTCCGTCGTCATTAAAAGAGGCCAGTTGACCCCTCCATGACCTCCCTGGCGCGTTCGGAGATATAAGGAGGTTATATTTGCTCGTTCTTTGCTCTTGACCCCGCTTCTCCCATTTCCGTTTTTCCCGAATCCCATCCCATTCCCTAGGGTTTGCTGCGTCTGCTCGGCTCCTTATCTTCTTCCTTCTTGCTCACCTTGACAGCTCCTCCTTTCTGCCTGAGGATTGACATACTTACGGGTCCCCGTGGCCGCATCCTCTCGGTCCCCAACAGGAACGGAGTCGTACAGTATGGCGGTCATCAACCAGAACAACAACAAACAGGTGCCTCCTGCGCCTCCGACTCATCATCCACCTATGCGCCCGAATGAGGGTGTCCGTGTGGCGCAAGCGGGCTCAGCACGTCCCATGAACCCGGAGTACTTGGTTCCTCAGATGAATCGGCTCAATGTTCAAGCGGAGAAACCCCCGGCTGTCAACAACCCAAAGCCCAAGGAGACCACCACGGTCGTTGAGGAGATTGATGCTCGTGCCCCCTTCTACTACCTGGGGTACACCTTCTTCAAGGCCGATGCCGTGCCCGGGCACAAGTCCACCTGGAACCATGTGGAGCGGACCAAGATGAACCTCAGCCAGTCTGATCTGATGAAGCTGGTACACAAGCGAACCAAGAAGACCCCCATCGCCGAGCAATACCAGTCCCTGTCCAAGGTCAAACGTGCGCATGTGGACCAGCTGATCAGCGAACTTAGGAAGAGTGACCCCCACTTTGAATGGACCTGCGTCTATGTCAAGGAGGACGAGAAGCCATTCAAGGGTAAGAACTCCCGGCGGGGTGACTATGAGACGCTCTCCGTGAACGTCGTCATCATGAGAAAGGCTACAGATTTGGTGTTTCCCAAGATACCTGTCGACGACCATGTGGATGTGGAGGCCCTTCCTAAACCACAGGACCGTGTGCCAACTCACGTGCACAATAATCCATCCGAATCGGGACCAAAGGGGATGTCTAGGAGCATGCAGCCTAGTGAGCCACTGGTTGGGCCTACTATCCATCAGGGGACAATGCCACCGGCCATGAATCATAGCCAGCAGCCTCTGCCTACAAGGTTCCATCAGCCTCCTTCTCATCAGTCTCCACCACATCAGCCACCTCCCCATCAGCCGCCTCCGCAAATTCCTCAGGGATATGCGGGGCCACGACCACATATGCCCCAAGGGCCCTGGCCGTGGTTGCACGGGATGCCAGCTGGTATGCACCCACACCGCGCTCAGCCAGGCATGCCTGTCTCTACGATGCCTGCGTCTGCTATGCCCAGTTCTGCAGTGCCTGCTCCTGTCATGCCTGGGGCTGCCATGTCTGGCCAAGCCAATGTTCCGCACATGATGGCTCAGCCGAATGGCCTGCGAGGCGTCCACATGGCAGCTGGAATGTTCCACCAAAGGCAGGGATTCGACCCCCGCGCCCATTTTTCCGGCCAACAAGAGGCCCATCCTTCTGACAAAGGACCCGCCCCTGCCCCTGCCCCTGCTCCTACCACTACCCCCGCTCCGCCGGAGACTAAACCCGAGAACGTCAGGCCCTCGACGCCGGCGGCAGATCCCGAGCTAGAACTGGGACTAGAGTCGAGTAGTGTGGGGGACGATGAATCCGTGTTCGACTTTGACGACGACAGCTCCATCACCGATAGCTCTGATGAAGAGCCCGAACTGGAGGATAAACCCCAGCCGTGGCGCGGCAGTCTATATCGTCGACACTCCGCCCCCCGAGCGAAGCATGCATACCGCACCCATTATCGGAAGCAGCCCCAGAAAAACGGGTCGGACAACAAGACGAGCCGGTCTGGGTATCCCAATGGCTGCATTGACGTGGTGCCTGCAGACAGTAAACATGTCGACCCACGCAGCGAGGGTGCCGTTAGTGGTGGTAATGGGAGTGGCAGTGGTCCCAGTCAAGAAGTGAGCCGGCCAGCGCGAGACCGGCCCAAGATCATCCATGCGCCAGTGAGTGCAGACGAGTTGGATTTGGAGCAACTTTTGGCCGAGAGGGCAGAGCGGTTCCGAGGGGGGCGGGCCCGGAACGATATTCGGGCGCGAATACTAGATGACCGCGAGGCCCGATTGGAGCATCGCGAGCGGATGGTGGAATACCGGGCCCGCGTGCTGGAGGAACGGGAACGCTTGGACGATGCATGTTACCTCGGACGACGCATGTCCCTGCGCGAACCGGGCACCTTCTATGGCCCTCGACGATATTACCTCCCGGAGGGGCTTCAATGATGGTGCAGGGTCCTTTGGGGGATTAGTTACATAGGACTAGTCGAATTGGGGGAAGAGAGGGGGGGAAGCAATGGAAGGGGAATCGCTTCATTGTTTTTCCCTGGGAAAGTCAGTTTACCAGTGGATTTTCGGGTATTTGCATTTTGGGATCGGGTGAAGGAGGGATCCAAGTGGGTATCTCATAACGTCATTGGGGGGGAAGACAAAAGTTCCATCGGAAGCTGCAGTTCAACCGCGCACACACACAGACGCACCCTGAAGATTATCATTTCTCATCCTTGTGCAATAGCAATGTTATATTATAGGGGAATTTATCACGCGCCGAGTTACCCATTCCCGAAGCAGACACCGAGTAGTTGTTTGTAGAGCTTAGTAGTAAAGAGATGAGACACAGAGAGAGGGAGAGGAGAGAGAGATGAAGAGAAAGAGTTGCCAGCTCAGCGAGTGACTTATCGATAAGCCCCGCCCGTGTAGCAGTTTAACTAGTAGTGACCAGTTACTAGTAGTAGTAGTAACTAGCAGCAGTGCTGGCAGCTGCTCTGCCCCTCTCTCGGTTCCCCCCCATCGTCATTCATCCTTCCGGTTCTTCTTCTTCCCTCTTTCCTCTTCTTCTCTCTCTCTTCTCTTCTTTTTCTTCTTCTTTCTCTGTACTTTACTCGTTTACTCACTTCCTTCCACAATTTCCTTCTCCAGACACTCTCCCCGTCTTTTTCAATCACACCAACACATCTTCAAAATGCCTCGTCAATTTTTCGTGGGTGGTAACTTCAAGATGTATGGAAACCCCTCCATCCGCTGCCCCGCCAGCTCTTCACCACCAAATATCGCTTCACCCTCAACGAGCCCGCTGGCTAACGAATGACTTCTGCGTTACTCTCACACAGGAACGGTACTGCGGACAGCATTACCTCCATCATCAAGAACCTCAATGCCGCCAAGCTGGACGAGTCCGCCGAGGTGGTTGTCTCTCCCCCCACCCTCTACCTGCTCCCCGCCCGCCAGGCCGCCGGCGAGAAGATCGGCGTCGCTGCTCAGAACGTCTTCGACAAGCCCAACGGTGCTTTCACCGGTGAGATCAGTGTCGAGCAGCTCCGTGATGTCAAGATCGACTGGACCATCATTGGTCACAGCGAGCGCCGTGTTATCCTGAAGGAGAGCGACGAGGTAGGTCTACCCCGCCAATTATTATTTAGTTGAGTCGGGCTAATATTAACCCCCATCTAGTTCATTGCCCGCAAGGTCAAGGCTGCCATTGACGGTGGCCTCAGCGTTATCTTCTGCATTGGCGAGACTCTCGAGGTATGTGGGCCTGTTACTTTTCCTGATTTTGCTTTTTTAACCTCGCGACTACCCCTCTTCGAGCTCGCGGTGACCCGGTGAGATGAACCGAGACTAATGCAACCCCCCAGGAGCGTGAGGCCAACAAGACCATCGACGTTGTCACCAAGCAGCTCAACGCTGTTGCCAAGGAGCTCACCAAGGAGCAGTGGGCTAAGGTTGTTGTCGCCTACGAGCCCGTCTGGTAAGTTCTCTATCGATTCGTCTAGCTTGCTGGTCACGCGCTAACCCCAATTCAGGGCTATCGGTACCGGCAAGGTCGCCACGACCGCCCAGGCCCAGGAGGTCCACGCCGCTATCCGCAAGTGGCTCGTTGATGCCATCTCCCCCGAGGCTGCCGACAACACCCGCATCATCTACGGTGGTTCCGTCAGCGAGAAGAACTGCCGTGACCTGGCCAAGGAGGCCGATGTCGACGGATTCCTGGTTGGCGGTGCCAGCTTGAAGCCTGCCTGTATGTGTACCCTTTCATTTGGTTGATGCAGCTTACTGATTATTCTGTTGTAGTCGTTGACATCATCAACGCTCGTCTGTAAACAATTGAATGATTGATGGACATGTGATAATGATATCCGAATCCCAATAGGCGGGGAAGTCAGCCTGGGAACTCTGCAGACACCATGACCAATTGCAGAGCATGAAAATCTATAAAGAATATAAAAAATCGAATCTATACCAAATAAATCCAAATTGAATACCACCATTAACCTTACCTTCCCCATGCACCCTCTGTAACTATAACTCTAGACTACTCTATCAATTACCTAGTAAGTTGCAGTATAATCATAGCACATATCATAGTATCTACATCCATCCCCCCACGCCCCATATAACCCGTCATATAGATCAATAATATACACAAGGATCACGACGAATACGACACCGAAACCCCCACCCCCCTCCAATACGACTTCCTCAAACCCCCAGACTCCCCACCACCCCCATCAGAAGCATACGAGGAGGAAAACGAACTTGGTCCCAACCCCACCCCGGCACTAACCAACAACTCCTTGACTCGTCCCTCCCACAACAACCGCACATTCCACGACTGATCCACCCGGATCTTCAACACGGATTCGTTATCCTCCTCCTCTACTTTTCCCTTTCCCAATCCACGGCCCACTAGATCCTTAAGATCGTCAGGAGGTGTAGCTGTAGACGGATGCGGATGAGGAAACAAGCTCTCGCGAATCTTCCGTTTTGCCCACTCCACCCCATCACCGTCATCACGATAGCGGGGTTTACTCTTCCGCCAGAGTTCACACCCGGCTACCATCTCGCTTTCCCAGCTATAGACATTGAATCCGAAGCGGGAGCTGAATGCCAAATTCGGCGATGCGCGGAGCGAGTATGTCGTTGATAGTGAGCCCGTTAACGGGGTCAGGGTGAGAGTGAGAGTATAAGGGAATGTCGAAATCGGAGTATTGACATTAGCACTACCAGTGCTAGTTGAAGGGGCTGACGAAGAAGAAGGAACATCCGTAGCCGCAGGCAAGGTGCTAAACCTCAGGCCCGTGGACATGCCAATCAGCGACGAAACAGGCGAATAGTAAGCCTCCGCGCCCGCAGAGAGCAACGACAACCTCGGCGAAGACCCCGAAGGGACAGGATCCCTAGGATCGGGCCCGAAGTTCCATAGTCCGCGCCAGCCGAAGAGGGCATTATCCGTACTGAAGAGGTACTCGTTGTTGTATTTCCCCGTGTTATGGGAGAGTTGCGCGAGGAGGGAGGCCTGCGGGGCGGATTTGGAGAGCGGCGGACCTCGCGTTGAGCAGACTGCTAGGGACAATTGCATGGTTGGGGAGAGACGACGCAGGAAGAGGGCATTGAGGGTTGTCGGGGGTGGGAGATGGAGGGTTGCGTGGAAGAGGGTGGCTTTTTTGCCGATGGAGTTGTATGCGGAGGGGGAGGCATCGTTGAGGTTGTCGTTGTTGTCGTCGTTGATGAGGATGGTTTCGGCGATGGGGGCAATGGGCGCTTGTACTTGGCGGTAGCCAGGGGAGAGCTTGCGGAGGGGGATTAGGGCACTTCTGCTGGGGAAGCTGTCGAGAGGAACGGTGCTGAAGAGGTAGGAGACGGAGCCGTCGATGAGGCCGACGGTGCCGAGGGTGTAACTTGTTGCGAAGTGCGGAGTGGAGAGGGAGGAGAGATGGACGCGGAGGCGTTCCGGGGTGGAGAAGTCGAGGAGGGCTGGACTTGTTGGTTAGTAGTGTTTTGATGGAGGTTGAGAGGGAGAAGGGCTGGTATGCATACACTGCGCAGTGGCTGTCAGCGACGAGTACGAGTTGTCGCGGTTCCAATTCGTCGCCTCGGCGAAGGCGAGTTGGATGTAATCCATGAAATCGAGCATTGTCGGGGATAGTGCGGGAGCAATGGGACAAATCAAGCAGCCTCAGTAGTGAGACCCATCCAGCATAATACAGCCCACCATTGACGGCCTGGGCATGCAGTTGAGTATCCCGATGGAGTGAGAGTGAGTAGATGAAGCGGATTGAAGATGAAGCCCGCAATCAGCTCATTTCCCGAAGCAGACTAGGGCAGATGGGGGCACGGATAAGCCGCGCGACAACAATAATCCGGGCGTTATCGACAGCCGCAAAGAAAAAAAATCATTGGATCTCGAATCCACAATTTCCCGCGCCGGCTCTTTGCAATTATCACCACTTCAACCTACTCGATTTCTTCGGTGCCTTCTTCATTCTCCCAATATTCCTAGTGTCTAGTACTTTTTCACACCCCGATCAATCACCATGCCTCGTTCCAAGCGTGCCCGCGTCGTGCACGAGTCTAAGACCGTCAAGAAGTCCCACAAGGAACAGACCCGTCGCCTGTACGCCAACATCCGGGAATGCATTGAGAAATACGACCACCTGTTCGTCTTCGGCGTCGACAACATGCGCAACACCTATCTGAAGGATGTCCGTACCGAGTTCGCCGATAGCCGGTTAGTAGTTCTTCCCCTGCAACTACCCCCCGCCTATCCCCAAGATGCCCCTCCCCTCCAACAACAACAACCCATGCAAAGTAAACTAAACTAACCACCTGAAACCACAGTCTCTTCTTCGGCAAAACCAAAGTCATGGCCGTCGCTCTGGGCCACAACCCCGAGAACGAAGCCGCGCCCAACCTCCACAAACTCAGCCCCTACCTCACCGGCGCCGTCGGCCTTCTTTTCACCTCCCGCGACCCTCAATCCGTGACCGACTACTTCGACAACTTCCGGCCGCTTGACTTCGCCCGTTCCGGAACCGTCAGTACCCGGGCCTTCTCGATCCCCAACGGTCAGGTGTATTCGCGGGCTGGAGAGATCCCCGCCTCCGAGGACGAGCCGCTCAGCCACACTATTGAGCCGGAGTTGCGGAAACTTGGTGTCCCGACTCGGTTGGTCAAGGGCAAGGTTATGTTGGAGTTGACGGAGGGTCAGGAGGGATTCCCCATTTGCAGGGAGGGAGAGGTGCTCGATTCGAGGCAGACGACGCTGTTGAAGATGTTTGGTGTTGTTATGGCTGAGTTCCATGTTGCGTTGAAGGCTCATTGGACGAGGGAGTCTGGGGAGGTGGAGATTCTGGAGAAGGATGAGGCTGGTATGGAGGTTGAGTAAGTTTGTTTGAGGTCGGTTGATGATGCTTTGAGAAAAAGTTTCGATTCGGTTTCTTTTTTTAGAGTCGGGGTCCTGCTGGTGGTGCTGGTGGTGTTGCGTTAGTGTTGGGTCGTGGTAGACCTTCTTTTCGTTCAGAAAAGAAAACCTATCTATCTATGGATATGTGGACTTGAAAAGAAAAGTCCAGCCGGTCTGATACGATGAACAACTCCCACCACCACCACTCCCACGCCCCTTTGATGATGAGATCCCCTGGGCATCTTTGGAGTTGGGTTTAGGCGTTTTCTTTCAATGATTGATTGTCGATTTTTTCGACTCGTGTGTGTGTTTCGTGTCTGATTCGGTATATACTATTCTGCTTCAGTTGATGAGCGTATGACGGACATACCGATATGAATAAACCAATCCGAACAGTTCAGTTATAGAATAACATCTCTCTCAAGTTCACCTAGGCTGAGGACTACCATTACTGCTACTAGTATACTTAGTACTTAGTACCTGACGTCCTGACGATGGCAACTAATGCCACGGATGATGAAATATTTACATGACGATGAGATAGGGCATATGTCACACACCCTGGATAATAGGATATCATTTACCTTCATTTACTTACTGCATTGCATGTTGGCAATCAATCGGTCATGACTGACACATAAGTTTTTCTTTTTGACACAAAAACAACCCTACCTGATCTTCTTTCTTACCTGAAAACGAAACCCAGATCCCAAACCATAAAAAGCTCCGCCTGTGAAGACAAAGTGTTGACTATCTAAAGTACATACTTACCCCCTGAAGAGAAGTAGCGGCCGCACACCGGGCCCAAGGGAAATAAAACGACATGAGTAAAAAAGAGGACACGAGTAGTAACAAAGACAAGAGAGAAAGAGAGCATGAGCATGACAGACAGGGAAAGAGGTGTCCGTTAACAGCGCGGTATCTGTGTCTGCTGTAACGGGTGGGAAATCGACCTTCGAGGGGAAATCTGCGCCTGCCTGCTCCAAATGGAAGATGGATATCTCGTAACGTAACCAGGATTACGAAGGAAAGATGATGCATACGGAGCACTTCAACTGTTGTGAGTTATACGATGGTTGAAGTCCGATATAGCACGGAGCTTGAGCCTTGTTTGACCTTGCCTTACCCATTGCTGGAACGGGGTATAACAAGAGAAGGATCAAATTAATGATACCCACCAGCAAACCGTCACTGAACACTGGAATGGGGATATCCTTCGCGGACAGACGTTCAGTATCTTCTTTTGGCACGGGGGTCATCATACGAATCATCTTCATGGTATCGCTTCCGCCCGTAGTCGTCGCCCCGGCCTCCGTACCTGTCACCACGATCGCGGTCGCGTTCACGGTCCCGGTCACGGTAGCGATAGCTATCCCTGTCACGGTCCCGGTGACGGTCACCGTCGCGGTCCCGATCCCGGTCTCGACGATCGCGGTCGCCAAACCCGTCCCGGGGCCTGATGGGTTCTCTGTTGCTGCCAGTAGCGCCGCGGGGTTCACGCTCAAATCTGCCGCCGCCAGGGGGACCACCACCGAATCCACCGCTGCGTCCGCCTCCCGGACCTGAAGGGGCGTTGGGGGGAGCCTGTCCACCTCCACCGAATCCGTTGCGACCACCTTGGTATCCGACACCTCCACGGGGCCCACCAAATCCACGATCACCGCGGAATCCTCCCTTGAAACCACCTCTGCCGCCGAACCCACCACGGAATCCACCACCATAGCCACCGGGACCAGAGGGGGCGTTGAAAGAGCCAGGGCCGATAGGTCGAGAGGGCAGGGCCTTGGTGTAACCACGACCTCCGAGACCACCACCAAAGCGACGAGGCTTCCATCCCTTGACTGTACGACCGCGCTCGACGTCTACCAAGACACGGCGGTCCTTAATGCGGATACCATCCGTTTCCTTGTAGGCAGCTGAAATCGTGACGAAAAGAAAACTAGGTTAGCATCAAGAACGTACGGGGATTCGATACCAGTCTGAATCCAGAGTGACAGGCGACTAGATCTGTAGCAATACCTTTCATATCCTTTTCGCGCTCATAGACAATAAAAGCATATCCTCTGTGTGGTTTCTTCGAGCCCTTTGGCGTTACGGTGTCTTTCACGATGCGAATCTGGGAGCAACGTTAGTCATGTGTGTAACCCATCAAGCCCGCTCGGCCTGTGACTGTACCCGTTCAATAGGACCGAAACGGCCAAACTCCCGTTCCAGGTCCGATTCCTTAACATCGTAGCTCAGTCGAGCGACAAACAGCGTCTTGAACGGATCGCCTCGTGCTTGTTGGTCGTTGGATGGTTCATCTACAAACAAATCATCAGTATTAGCACAGATAAATCCCAGAACAGATGCGATGATCATACAAGTCTCGAGGCCTTCCGTCAATTGCTTGTTAATGTTCTCTTTCTTCTCCACCTTCTGGCGCAATTTGCGCTGGATCCAGCTTTCCGTAGGCGTATATGGAATCTCTTCCTCGTACTTCTTCACCTCGGGCAGAAACTGCGCAATGCCACCAATGCTACTCTTCTTGCAGTCTTCTGGGGCACGGTTGATGGGGGTGACATAACGCAGAGGCGGGCGAGGTTGGAAGAGCGCCAGAAGCGGAGGGGGAAGCTTGTCCGTCATGTTGTGCCCTCAGCCAGTGCTCTGAATAAACGTGAAAAATTAATTCAAAGCCTTCAGAGGCATCGAGGATGAAAGGACGAGATGGGGGAGAGGAGATATGGCGGTCTTTTGTCACTTGGTCCTAGCAGCGTTGGGGGGAGTTTCGCGTTCCTCCCGTCAGGTGCTTGTCTGCTTCTGGAACCGCTAGTCGCGGTAGCCGAGCTTGCCGCTGCACCCAATGACGGCCCTGTATTGGAGGCGGCCCTGAAAAGTCCCCGAAGGTGTCCCTCGAGATTGTTGGAAAGCTGTTGACGCCTTCGCTGTGAACATACAAATCCCAGATAGCCGCAATGCCTCTTCAAGGGATCCGGACGGTTACGGCCGCTAGAGTATGTGTTTCTTTGGGATCTTATCCGTCTGCGTCTCCTAGACTAACTTCATCATCCAGAACGGTGTCGGTGCCTTTATCCTACAATGCAAGCGGTTGGATTTCCACTACTGTGACTGGGCTGGTAGTTCCCGGGGCATGGTGTATGTTCTTCTTCCTCTTTAATGATCAGCTTTGATCGGAAGATACTGATGCTTGTTTGTGATAGTGCCTACCTCAAGCACCACCTTCCTGCCTTCGCGAAAGCAAACCCTCAGATCGAAATCCGGGTATCACCGCGGCCACACAAGCACCCCGTAATCAAGGGACACTACATCAACGGACGGGAGAAGGCGGTTTGCGTGCGGAATCTCGAGCCTGAGCAAATAGGCAAGAAGGCCGATCTGTTGAAGCAGGCCAGCGGAGAGAAGTTGAAGCGCACCAAGAAGCCCGTCACGAGTATCAACGAGAGTGTCAGAGGCATCTGGTCCCCGTACCACGGTGGCTACAAGTCGGTGTAAAGATGGGGGATTGTGCAATCATACGGTGGTGTTCTTTTTCTGGGTCAAATATCATTTCCTATTCGATGTATTATGGGTTACTTCATCTGTTTTGTGTACCTGCCTTTTGCGAACCCGACTCTGTCTTTGTTTGAACGATATGTATCATATGTACAGAATGTCTTTATTAGATATCCCATGAAATGGGCTCCCGCTCCCCGTATGTAGCATCGTAATTATCAGGAAAGTAAAGTGTCATTATCCACATGGATGGCCCCGACCGGACCACCACCTATACCCAAAACGCTCTCTATGCCATAGAGGTAAACACAAAAATAATCCCGCCCAACCGAAACAAATGCAATGAGGGTATCAAAGTGTTGCTCGTAAATGCCAAGGTAAAAGTTCAGAAAAGAAGCCCCGCCCATGCGCCACCATCATCACATGCTATTATTGTGCAAACGCCAGAGATGGTATGCAGCATCATTATAGATAAATCTGGAACATTGACTTGGGCGAACTAACGGGCTTCCCGCAACCGAATACCTGGCATTTAGAGAAAGGCTTAGCTTTAGAAGCGTTCTTTTTCGCCTTCGACAACGATCGGTTCGAGGCACAGTCGCCACAATACACCTACGGTCAAGGTTAGAAGATGGTATCGAACGTCGTTGACTCGGGAATCACGTACATGTCCACATTGCTTGACCACCCATATCTGCTGTTTGGTTTCGTCACCAGTGCCCAGTTCCATATCACAATTCGGGCATACAACCACATCGTCTTCTGCAACATTTCGGGTGAACCCCTCCGGTGGCGGACTTGGAGGTTTGTAGGCATTTGCAGGTGTCCTTTGTCGTGTCAGGCCCGTGAGTTGATAGTCTAATCCTAACGGGCCATCCACATCCAAATTGATCGTTAGATCTATAGCGCCCGCCGGGCCATCTCCGATCCAGAATGACTCCACATCACTTATTGGAGGATGTCTCCGAAATCCTCGAAACGCTAGGTCCGGTCTGCCATGGTCTCCAACCCGTACAGGTGGTCTCGGGGACCGAAACTGTAACATCTGCTGCCACAAGCTGGGCATATAGAAACCTTCATTGCTGCGCGGCGGAGGCGGAGGTGGTGGTTGTGGCGGCGGCGGCAACTGTGGCCGCCTCACAGTGGCTCCGATGAACTCGACTTCGGGGCTGCTGGGGGGTTGTTGCTGGTCATTATCGTCCACCTCTTCCTCTAAATCAACCACTTCCGTGAGGATGTCCCTGGGAAATCGGGGAGGACGCGGCCGAGAAGATTCGTTCGTCGTACGGGACTCTTGCAAGGACGAATTTTGATAGGGTGTATCGGGCTCATCGGTCAGGTCTATCACATCTTCAGACGGCTGGGTTGTGGCCGGTCGGCGGAGGTCGAGGCCGTCCCCGGGGTAGCGCCGAAGCGGTGGCAACGAAGGCCCCGGTGTTGCGGAAAGGGATGATGAAGATGGTTCTCCAGATGGACGTCCTGAAGAAACTTCGGATATCTCGCGGTGAGTTCTCTGGAAGGTGGAGTCGGGCGTTAGTTGAACCTCCAATCCCTTGATCTAGCACGGGCATACCCCGCCTCCGTGAGGAGATTCGAGGGCAGACGGGGAGATTTGATACGAACCTTTCTGGGGCGAGAGCCCACAAACAAGACACCTGAATCGTCACTCATCCCGGAAACCAATCCGCAGGGGAAGACGACGGTGTTGGAGGGGAAGAGAAGGTGGGAGAGGGAAGAAGGGCGAGGGGAGGGCGGTTTGATGGCAAGAAGAAGGTGAGGTAGTAGTGAGTTATTAACAGCCGGTGTTAGGCCTCACTTGCGGTTGGTGGAACGCCATGCTTAGTAGTGTTAACGAAGTGGTCTGGGTCCGAGTGCCCTGCGGTCAGGAGTGGCATGTCTCCGGTTCAACTTGCTTTTTGCCTCACTGAACACCGTGAGAGTTTGTCCAGCATGCCACTCTTCAGTGAATGGACGGACCCTCTGGAAGTACTACTGGGTACTAGTAAGAGTTCTGGCACTCGCAGTTCCAGGGTAGTAATCCGTGGAAATTCAGAGCCAGGCGGAGTGGTTCAGTTGCGGAGGGGAGACAAATATATTTTAGTCTTATAATTTAGTTGTATGAGAGTTCCCGCCGACTCGCCCAGCACCCCCGATCACTGCGTGAATGACTTGTCACCATCCATCACCAATTGTCACAGCAGTAGGTAGTAGGTCTGCTGACAACTCAGATTCTGGTGGTTTCTATGCTCATGATAATCCCATTATAATCCGGGTTCGTTATTGTTGCCAGGTGGCTTCTCCTTCCTTTATTCTTTAGGTTTGGTCTGAGAGGGAAAAAAAAAACAAGACGCCGGTGACAAAAAAGAAACAACAACAAAAAAGAAGAAAGAAAGAGAAAGAAAAGTAGCACCGACAGCTAGAAATACAGAACAACAAATGGAATTTTCACTCCGTATCCATAAGTAGGTATCATAATTACTGTGCCGTCAGCTCCGTCACGCCTCCCTCGCTGTTCAACGCCACGATAGTCTGGGCGGCAGAGCCCCAAGCCGCCGCAACCGCGGGCACCGCACTCCGCAAGGGCTCGGACCACGACTTGGAGGACTTGGTGTATTGGTGCACCGTCAAGCCACTAGGTCCGGCGGTCAGAAGGAACTGTCCAGTGTAATCCCAGTTAATCGAGTCAACCTGACTGCCCGTCTCCAAAACCTTGCTCTCCTGTGCGCTACGGAGATCCCAAATGGATACAGTGGTCGAGTTCTCGGTAACCGCGGCCAGGAAAACACCGTTCTCGGAGAAGAAAAGGGACTTCACAGGGCTAGACATGGCGAAAGTGGCAGCGGACGCGCCGGTCTTGATATCGAAGATCTTGATTTGCCCGTCCACGCCACCAGCAGCAACCAGGTGGCCGTCAGGGTGAATCTTGACCGAGAGAAGAGCTGAAGAAGAATGCAAAGTTAGCCATGTCCGGACATACAATTATCATCGGGCTACTCACATGCGTCACTGAAAATCTGAGTGATTACCGAGTTCGTCGTGAGGTCATACAGAACATAGCTCTTGTCAGCGCCAACCGAGGCAACAATGTCACCGGTAGCATGCACGGCAAGCGCGGTTGCGGCTCCAGCATGAGAGTTGAAGTTAGCGACCTCGTTGCCGTTCTCGAAGACCTTCACAGAGCCCGTAGACGATGCCACAATGGCCTTCTCGCCTGCCCAAACGGCATCGGTAACTGGCCCGTTTGCCTGCAGGTTCTGAACAACCTGCTTCTGGGGGATGGAATAGATGCCAACGGCACCGTCCGCGCCGCCGATGAGTGCCAGCTCTCCCGACGAGTTAACGGCGAATGCCTTGCTGCCGGGGTAAAGAGGGTTGGAGCTCTCCGTAGGCTTGTATGTGGAGATGGCTTCAGCCGTAGCCCAGCCTTCCGGAACCGGGCGCTTACGACGTGTCTTGGACAGCCTGTAGTTTGTTAGATATACCGAACACAGTAGAATCCTATACATAGCAACTTACGATGCCTGTGTGCTCTCAACACGTGCCAGAACGGCCTCGGGCAGACCGGTCGAATCAACCTGCATAGCCTCACCACCGGAGGCAGCGGCACTCCTGGCACCGACAGTGACCTTGGATAGGGCATCACGGGCCTCGTCTCTCTCCTTTGTCAACCGAGCAATCACGCGAACGGCGGCATCGTGCTGGTAGAGCGCGGAGCTCAGTTCCTGGCGAGTCTGTGCCAAGGTCTGTCGCAATGTGTAGGTTTCAAGAGCCAGGGCATCCCACTCTTCTTGGAAAACACTGAGCAACGAAGGAATGGATGTGAGGGTGGGAGGTCTGGGGCGGACGACGCGCTGGGATTTGACATCAATGAGGTCCTCTGTGGAGAGCTCTTCTCCATTCACGGGATCCTTTCCATTCTCCGCGATGTAGGCTTCGATCAGTCGCTTTTCAAAGACGCTGCCTAGTCGAGCATTAGCTGCATTACGTCGCATCAATGCTTTCGAGGTTGAGACATACCGCTCTTGGGCGAGACGACGGGCACTTGCGGTGCCTCTCCCGAAACTGTTGCACATCAAACGTCAGTAATTGGTCCTGCAAGAGCAATTAATTGCATGACTTACTTGCGCAAAGCATGGTATATGATGTATGTTGGTTGATGGAGGACGAGGTTGGTTCGACGCGAAGCTTGCGGCTCCTCTGGACTTTTCGACCTCGCCCGATGCGGATTAGCGCACCGCAGCCCACTGATTCCTTGGCGGGCCAGCCAACTTCTTTTGTCGGAGTATACCAAGTCGCTTTTTATTTCTATTCCATGCTCATATCTAATTGGTGTTTGTGTCTGTAGCTTGCGAGCGAGGCATCTATATTGCGCTACTGCGCTACAGTCGACGAGGAATATCTCTATACGAATGCATTGTGCATGGTGTCCTACTAAGGAGTGTCACGTCATACTGCCCACATTCGCTCGCTATTGAGCTGCTGTAACATCAGTCCTACTATTTTCTTGACTATTATAGAATAGAGAAAGGCTGACAGTGACTCTGCGGCTGACATAGCCATGTCATTCAAATCAAAGGACCTCGCATATGGTACGTTGCTTCGTCTCATACTCCTCGTTGACATCGAACTAACCGTCTTCCAGAGGCGAAGCAGCCTGCCTTTTTACAGAGACTGAAGAACCAATACGGAGATACCTCTGGTCGCCTCGAAAGACCCATTGCACGGCCGCGGAAACCGAGGGAAGACAATGACGACGATGGCCCTACCTACGTTGATGAAGAGAGCAACGAGATCATCTCCAAGGAGGAATATGAAGCCTTAGTACGTGGGGAGGATAACAAGGATACTGAGAACTCCAATAAAGATACACAAGAGCCTGCGACGGGCGAAGAAGGTAAAACGAATACTCAGGCCGAGGCACCTGTCTCCAAACAGAACGTGGCCGAAATAGGAGGGCCACGGAAAAGGAAACAGGTCAAAGTAGTGGGAGAAGACACTCCTAGCGAAGAGACCGAGAAGGTACAGAAGAAAGATCCAGGCACTCGGAAACCAAAGCAAAAGAAGAAGATCAAGCTATCCTTCGATGAAGATGACTCATAATGACAGGATTTGAGTCACGTTATACTACAATAATGATACCCTATCATGGCCGAAGAAGGGATTTTGTATCGCTTGTTCAGCTTCTTTTTTTTTCTCCAAATTTTGGTAGATACATACTTAGTTAGGATGATACCATAGAATGATGACGATGATTGAACAGAGAGAGTATAGCACTCGGGTCCGCTGTAGTCATAGTAAAATCGCAGCAATTAATAATCAAGGGCTTGAACCTTTAAAGACCATGTAAAAGAATCTTCACATATAATATATTTACCACATCTCCTACTGTCCAGGTCTGGCGTGAATTCCACTCTCTGAATCCGAGGAATAAGGCAAGCCCTTCAAGCTCGACATTTCCCGCGACGAGTTTTTCTACCAGATTCCGCAGTTCGCGGCACGGAAACCCAACGAAAGAGCAACTTTCCGGCCTGGAATTTACCTTGGACTCTGGGAGCTGTTTGGCAGCACCAGCAATATCTCAAAATGCCTGTTGTTAACGTGGATGATCTCGTCCGTCTGCAACGGAGGCCCGATGACATCCGCAATGCAAGTTACCCCTCCATCCATCCCACTTCCATCATCATCTTTGCTCCGTCCGCCATCACTAACAGCCATCTCAGATCTGCATTCTCGCCCACGTCGTATGTACTTTCTGCTTGTCCAAGTCTATCAGACTACATCCGTCTATGAATTTCTCTCTACTCACACCTATTTAGGATCACGGTAAGACATCCTTGACAGATAGTCTGATCGCCACCAATGGCATCATCTCACCAAAGCTGGCGGGCAAGATCCGCTATCTGGATTCCCGTCCAGATGAGCAGCTCCGAGGAATCACCATGGAGTCTTCTGCCATTTCGCTTTTCTTCTCCATGATGCGTCGTCCTGCTCCCGACGCTGCGCCCGTAGCGAAAGAGTACCTGATCAATCTGATCGATTCGCCGGGCCATATCGATTTCAGCAGTGAAGTGTCGACCGCATCCCGTCTTTGTGATGGTGCCGTGGTGCTTGTGGATGCCGTAGAGGGCGTCTGCAGTCAGACCGTCACGGTGCTGCGTCAAACCTGGGTGGAGCAATTGAAGCCCATCCTTGTCATCAACAAAATTGATCGACTGATCACGGAGCTGAAGATGAGTCCCAGCGAGGCTTACTCCCATATGAGCAAGCTGCTGGAGCAGGTCAATGCCGTCATTGGTAGTTTCTACCAGGGTGAACGGATGGAAGAGGACCTTCAATGGCGAGAGCGCATGGAGGAGCGTGCTAATGAATCTGCTGCTCGTTCCAAGAAGCAGGAGCAGGATGATGAGCCTACGGCAGAGTACGAGGAGAAAGACGATGAAGATCTTTACTTTGCGCCGGAGAAGAACAACGTCATCTTCTGCAGTGCTGTCGATGGCTGGGCTTTTACAATCCGTCAGTTTGCCGCCATCTACGAAAGAAAGCTCGGAATCAAGCGCACTGTCCTCGAAAAGGTGCTCTGGGGAGATTACTATCTCGATCCCAAAACGAAGCGAGTTCTGGGTTCGAAGCACTTGAAGGGTCGTGCATTGAAGCCCATGTTCGTTCAGCTTGTCTTGGACAGTATTTGGGCGGCATACGAGGCTACAACAGGCACAGGCACAGGAAAGGGGTATGTAACCCGGTATATACGTGATGTACATCTGCTAATGTGAACAGCGACCCGGCTTTGTTGGAGAAGATCACCAAGTCCCTGAACATCAACATTCCGCAATACATCCTGCGCTCACGCGATCCTCGTAATATCATGACCACGCTGTTTTCGATGTGGCTGCCTTTGTCTACTGCCGTGTTGGTGTCTGTCATTGAATATCTTCCTAGTCCGCCAACTGCTCAAGCAGCTCGGTTGCCAGCGATGATTGAAGAATCTCCTGGCTCCCAGTTCGTGGATCCCAAGGTGAAGGATGCTATGGTCAACTTCAAGACCCAAAAAGATGAGCCTGTCATTGCCTACGTCAGTAAAATGATGTCCATCCCGGAGAGCGAGCTGGGATCGAGCAAGAAGCGAGCCGGTGGCACCATGTCGGCCGACGAAGCCCGGGAAATTGCTCGCAAGAAGCGAGAGGAGATCGCCAAAATGCAGGCAGAAGCCAACGGCGACCAGACAGATGAGTATACTCGCATAACATCCGCCTTCGAACGGACGACCATATCAGATGATCAACCGGCCGAGAGCGAGGAGAAGGATGACCCTGAACATCTCATTGGATTTGCCCGTCTATACTCCGGAACCCTCTCAGTGGGAGACTCGGTGTACGTCCTGGCACCCAAGTTCTCGCCGGAGAACCCGCATGCCAGCCCCGTACCCCAGAAGGTTACCGTCACCGATCTCTACCTCCTCATGGGCCGCAGCTTCGAACCTCTTCAGTCGGTACCGGCAGGTGTCGTCTTCGGTATTGGCGGTCTCGCAGGCCACGTTCTCAAGACGGGCACTCTGTCCTCGCAGCTCGAGGGCAGCATCAACTTGGCTGGTGTCTCTCTCAACACGCCACCCATCGTGCGAGTCGCCCTAGAGCCCGTGAACCCAGCAGACCTCAGCAAGATGGTAACTGGTCTACGTCTCCTCGAGCAAAGCGACCCTTGTGCGCAATACGAGGTTCTACCCAGCGGCGAGCACGTAATCCTAACTGCCGGTGAACTGCATCTCGAGCGTTGTATCAAGGATCTCCGCGAACGTTTCGCCAAGTGTGAGATTTCAACCGGCCAAACCATCGTGCCCTACCGGGAAACCATCATCAGCGCCCCCGAAATGGCATCTCCCAAGAACCCCGAGCTCGGACGCGGCGGCGTCCAGACCACCTCTTCATCCAAGCAACTGACCATGCGCCTGCGCGTGGTGCCGCTTCCTGAAGCCGTCACGGACTTCATCTCCAAGCACGTGGGAACCATCAAGCGCCTGCAAACCGAGAAGCGCACAGCAGCAGAGACCCAATCCAGCGAGGGAGAACAACCCACCAACGGAACCACCACGGCCGAAAGCTCCCAGCAAATGGAAGCCAGCGACGCCACCGGTGAGGCCCGCGAAGCAACCTCACTCTCCCTGAAGGACTTCAAGCAAGAACTGGCCAAGCTGTTCGAAGACGAAGCAACCGACGACAAGGGACGCTGGAAGGACGTAGTGGAGCGGATCACAGCCTTTGGACCACGACGTGTTGGACCCAACATCCTGATCGACGCAACAGAGGTCAACACCTGCGAGAAATTGTATGTCCCCCTCCTCCCTTCCTCCCCCCCACCATATCACCAGATCCCCCCCAACTAACACCCGTAAACAAAGCCTCCTCGAACCCCACCAACAACAACCCCAGATCAACACCGACACCAGCACCCGCGAAGCCCTGATGGTCCGCGACCTCAGCGACAAGATCGCACACGCCTTCCAACTCGCAACCGGCCAAGGTCCTCTCTGCCAAGAACCCATGCAAGGCATCGCCGTATTCCTCGAATCCGTGTCCATCAACACCACCACCACCGACGAAGACCTCGACCTAGGCCGTCTAACCGGCGAAGCCATCCGTCTCGTCCGCGACAGCATCACCCAGGGATTCCTCGACTGGAGCCCTCGAATCATGCTAGCCATGTACAGTTGCGAGATTCAAGCCTCGAGTGCGTTAACCCCCTCCCCCCCACACCTTCCCCCTTACCCCACACACAAAATACTAAAAATCAAAACAGCCGAAGTCCTCGGCCGCGTCTACGGCGTAATAACCCGACGCCGGGGCCGAATCCTCTCCGAAGTAATGAAAGAAGGCACACCCTTCTTCACCATCCTATCCCTACTACCCGTGGCAGAATCATTCGGCTTCGCGGAAGAAATCCGTAAGCGGACGTCCGGGGCGGCGCAGCCTCAATTGATCTTTGCGGGCTTTGAGGCGCTAGATGAAGATCCGTTCTGGGTTCCCGCGACGGAGGAGGAATTGGAGGATTTGGGTGAGTTGGCGGATAGGGAGAATGTGGCGAAGAGGTATATGGATAATGTGCGACGGAGGAAGGGGTTGGTTGTGCAGGGGAGGAAGTTGATTGATGCGGAGAAGCAGAAGACTTTGAAGAAGTGATCTTTCTTTTCTTGCTTATATAGATGTTGTGTTTAGGGAAGGGGGAGATAGATGATTTGTGTAGGAGAAAGGCTGAATTGAATTATATTAAATTAACTACGATAAAGGTATATATGTATGTGCCCATTGTATGTAATACTTCCCAATCCACATAAGAATCAGAATAAGGAAGCTCTAAACAAGGGTCGCAAAGTGAGTATAAGACCTTGCGCGGTAACCATCCATCTACCTCACATGACAAACACAGCTTAGCATTGGAAAAGCCAAAGCCATGTATACTAAGGAGGAAAACAAGAAATCAAAGACGTCCTAAGGTAGTAGTAGGTAACTGGAAAGCAGAAAGTGTGGAATGTGGTTTCATTTGTATCCCTCACAAGGATCATAAATATGTTAGGATGTCCCGCGATGCGGGTTGGCAGTCATGTTATGTCATACGACTAGCCGATGATGTGAGTACATCACCTGTTTAAGATATGTACAGTCATGCCGAGTGTAGTAATCTGCTTGCTCGGCGGCAGTCATATGTATGCACTCGCGCGCTTCCGCGACTGTCTTCAGAGCAAAGCAAGCTGTAAGCAAGCAGGGGCCGGCCTAATCATATGCGAGCGCACCGACCTCAGGTACTGCTGCAAGGGCCTGACTCCTTCGGGATCAGTCACTCAGCCAATCCGGTTACCCCTCTAGGCGCATACCGTGGCAGATAGTAGACTGTAGTGTTAATGATGAACGCCATAGCCTAGCCTAGCCAGCCATCATCAAGGCCCGGCCAGACCAACGCATCATACATAATTGCTGGTATCATCAATTCCTCTCACCCCAGAAAAAGGTGAAAGACCTCTCAAAACGGCCTAGCAACCTTCCTCAACTCCGCAACCCCAGTAACAGGATCTCTCATTTCCTTCCAGCTAACAGGGAACATCATATTACCCGACTCACTGCGGGCCATAACGACACCCAGATCATTGCGTGCGGTGGTAAGATAGTAGAAGCTCTGGTCACCGAGGGAGATGACCGTTCCACGAACAATATCCCCAACACGGAACATCTCATCCATGACAACGCGGTCTTTCTCAACGGCGCGAACGTCCTCCTTGCGGATCAGCGCCTGGAAGCGAAGTTCGTCCGAGTTGCTATGGTTCTCTGGATTAGCCGCGGACGAGAGAATAGCTTCGATGTTGTCATTGTCCGATGCAGTCTGTGCGGGGTTCAGAGGCTGGGAACTAGCAGATTCGTCGAGCACGACTAGAATGGACACGGTGGCTTGTCGCTTCTGAACGCGGGTGACGCGCGCCAACACGACCGAGTCGACGGCGGGGAGGGTGTTGTATCTCAGCTTGGGCTTTCCAGTGGTGGCTGGTTTGGCGGACGCCTTGGTGCTGGGTGCAGGTGCAGCTGCCTTCTTGGGGCCTGTGCGGGAGACACTCAAAATGAGCTTTGCTTTGGAGCTGGATTGCGCTTGATCAACGACCACGGGGCCTGCGATCGAGGCATAGATGGTTGCGTTCTGTACGTGTGTACCAGGACCGGCGGCATATGAGGCAATTGAGCCGAGGCGCTGGCCTGGGATGGCCAAAGTGGGTAGTGCAGTGGCCATTCCAGCGCTGCGTCTTACACACTGGATATTAGAGGGAAATAAAGGAGGAAGAGAAAGAGAGGCTCGGAGATAGTCGAGCTTAAGTTGTTGATGCGAGATGCTGGCAAAGCTTTTCTTTTTCGGCGGGACCCGGTCTCGGCCGGAACAACACTCTTTCCGGACAGCTAGCACGGGCCAATCAAGAGGCCTTTGTATACATCTTGTGTTACTGAGACAGGTCATGTAGACAAAGTATCTACAACGATAGCTATTATAATCATGGTATCAATGTATTGCAAGTATAGACTCGAAATCCTCTAACGGTGAATACAGTATTATGCGCAGACACAATTAAAAGTCGGCACAGCGTCAGTTCTCCCTCGGAGAAGTGACTATAGACAACAAACGGACAACGATCTCAAGCACACCGAATGCTCGCTGACACGAATCAAAAGAGACACCGAAGCACATGCCCGCTTAACACCTTGGACAGCTAGACATCAATGGGTCAACACATTGGAACACAAGGCGGCTCAACTTATAGATAAGAACGGCAGTGGGAACACAGATAGAGAAGAAAAGAAGTCGGTCGAAGATAAATAGGAATAGGGAAGTGAAAGGGGATGGTCCAAAGCCATACACAGGTCGTTAGATGAGGTGAGGGTTAAAGTCAAGGGAGGAATATTTAGGCTTCTACAAGCTTGTGACCGTTCCCAAGGAATTCGAGGCATCGCCGAGCCAGCGCAATGACCTCGCCTTCCCCGTCTTCAGCATCCTCCTCATCCGACTCGATATTCTTGTCGGAGATGGACTTGACCATCTGAACGATATCGTCGGACTTGGCGATATATCCGATGAGTCTTTGATCCTCGGATTCCAGAAGTTGAAGCAGAGTCCAGATGGCAATATGCTGGAATGTCGGGTCGCCACTGGCGAGGAAGCGGTTGAGGTATCCGTGAATACCTCCGTTCGGATCTGCCCAATCACGCACAAAAATGGAGTAGTCACCCACTGGATTCATACCTGTTAGTATATGGAGGGCACATTAACACATTTGCACACGGTGGGGTCATACCTTTAGAGGAAAGATTTCCCAGCGCCGCAGCGCTGTTCCCTTGCACTTCGATACTTTCCGATTCCGTCAAAGGAATCAGGACATCAAACACCCCCAGGTTAAGGAGATGCGGTTTTAACTCGTCGCTCAGAGCCAGAACCGCGATCGCAGCAGTCATTTCCGACTGAACGCTGAGGGGCACACGGAGGACGAGGTCCTTGCACTTCTGAACAGCGCCGGCCTGCAGGACCAGCTCCTTGTTTCGATCCGAGCTTGCGGCAAGGTTCCGAAGGGTCGAGATGGCGTGACACTGAATCTCCTCATTATCGGTCGATCCCAGCAGGTCCACCAGGGGCTTGAGGAAGCCCGCATCGATGATAGGCGATTCGTTCAGGGGATGGATGGAGATATTGCGAATACATGCGACGGCGGATAGGATGAGAGGAAGGTAGGATGACTGCAGCAGTCGCAAGAGGGGTGGAAGACCCTTGGCTCGAACAATTTCGAGCTGGTATTTCTCGTCCGAGGCAAGGTTGCGCAGTGCCAACGCCGCTTGGCATTGGACCTTGGGTGTTGATGAATCCATCAGGTGCACCAGCGATTGAACCAGCCTGGACTCGGTTTGCGCCAGACGCTTGCGATTCGACGAGTCGACAGCAATGTTACTGAGGGCGGTAGTGCAGTAGTATTGTACATCCACATCGGGAGAGGAGAGCAATTGAACAAGGACGGGGATAGCGCCGGCGTTGACAAGTTGTTGTCGGTTATCATCTACGGATCGCAATGTTAGCAGAGCCACTCCGTCTTGGGATCCTCGCAACCTACCCGAGTGTGTCATATTCAGCAACGCCCCCGTGGCATTTCGTTGTACACGCATGTCCTTCGACTTCGCTAGACGGATCAACGGGCCCAAGGCACCGGATCGAGCGATCTTGGCCTTATTATCCTCATGGGTAGCCAAGTTTGTAATGCAACCGACCGCATTGCATTGCACTTCCACATTGGGTGACATCATCTGCCGTATTAGAGGAGCCAGTCCTCCCAAAGCGACGATCAGCACCTTATTGTCCGCTGCGACCGGTCAGTAATCCTGCTGGCGCGAGAAATGGATGAAAGCGAAGCCCACCATTTACAGCCAAGTTGCCTAGTGCTGCACTGGCAGCACGTTGAACTTCAATGTCCGAACTCTGCAACAAGAAGAGGATGGGCTCCAACGTGTCTCGATCGACCTCGCGCACATCTGCAAATACCCCGGATGTTAGCCACCATCGGAACAACAAGGTCTGTGCGTATCAGCCGTACCTCTCTCCGTGATTTCAGCGAATGTCAGACTGGCGCTCCGTTGGAGATCGACATTATCGGAATAGACGAGGGTGCTCAAGGCCCGAAGGGGTTCACCGGCGAAGAAGTCGGTCTCGGTCCTCTATCAAAGAATACTTGTGAGCAAAAGCGATTTCCGGGTGGAGCAGAAGTAGCACTGGAGGGTGCGACAGCAATGAACGTACGTTTTCAAGGTAACCTAGAAGATCGGAAACTGCCTCGCGCTCGTTGTCTGCCAAGGTGGTTTCATAAATGCCATCCCTTGAGCGGCCTCCGATCGGGCCGAGACAAGCTGAGATATGGCACCATCGGTCAACTGTCGAGAAGCAGGACAGACAGGCGTTCGTGATTCCGCTCATGCCTTCAGAATGGGGAGCCCGCAGGACCAACAGACGGCCCCGCCAGCGTTTGAACAGGAAAGCAAAGAGTAGGCGGAAGATACGCCGAATGGATTGGGAGAGGAGAGGATCAGGTCGGGCTCCTTAATGCCAGCAAGCTAGTCGCCTTTCCTTATTCCATCCAACAAAGACTTGCAGCGGAGGCGGAATAGACGTGGGAACGGGAGGCGGTCGGGGGAAGAGCAGGCAGAGTTCGAGGGAAGGACCGAATGGCGATTGAGCGAAACGCAAGAAGGGGACGGGAAGAGAGGCTCTGGCAGAAGGGAGCTACGGGAACACAAGGCCCGGCGCGTGATGGTTTCCTGAGAGGGGAGATGGAAGTAGGAGGGATGGATAGATAGTACGAGGAGTGGTTTGCTGTAGCCGTAGTGTAGTAGTCGACGTCGTAAGTAGAGGAGGAAGGGGAGATGAGACGGAATGAGGTTGGTTGGTTGGTAAGGTTAGGTCAGGTTGGGTAAGTAGCTTCCGTTTGCTTCAAGGGACCCTTAGCACGTTGCTTTCCTCCTTTGGAAAACATACAATGGAAAGAGTCAATGGAGGGAAGAGCAAGATGACAAGGGGAGGGGGGAAATGGCGGAGAATGCAAGACCCAGGGGGATAGAGGTTCATCACCAGAGTGGATTCTGGGATGGGTGGATGGAGAGAGAGAGAGAGTAGTGAGAGTGAGTGAGCAGAGATGAAAGAAGCAAGCCAGTCTGGTTGAGAGTTAGTTTTCCCGCAGTGGTAATGGTTACTACTGTTACTGTAGTTTAGTGGTAAAGTAAGAACCCGCGCCAGCACCACTTTGGAGTCGGGCAAATGATAACGCGCAGAAAAAAAGCAGGCAGGGGAAGCTCCAATTTCACCAACCACCTTATTCTATTCATTTTAATTTTAGGTGATGATATTACTCAATCTTGAACTAACATTGCTCAACTGAATTCATGACTCTATCGTCTAAACTAAAACTACTACTATCTATATCCAAGTGAGTACAGTACGTAGTAGATCTGTCACCGCCGTTATCAAACCAGAAGGTCCCATCCCCCGACCGGGGACATCCCCCCCGGTTGTTTATCTTTTGCTCGTCATTGCTTTGCTTTTCGCTTGCTTCGTTTTCTGTCGGGCGGCCCCACTGGGCAACAGCTCTTGGATGGAACCACTCGTCACTAGTCCGTTTAGTATCCATGCCCGTCATTAGTTCATGATTTAGAAAGGAAGAGAGAGAGAAAGAGCTCTCTCTTGCTCGGCCTCACCTTCTTTTGCTCTCCCTCCCTCCCTCCACCCCCCAATTCCCAGCCACATACATTCCCGCCATATCGTCTAGGATTCTGAAACTAGTCCCATGAGTGTTTCCACCGTTTTATGCAGACATTGAAGCATGTCATCAACTGATCTCAACAATTAAACTAATTAGCAACCGTTCTTTACCAATTTAATTTTTCGCATGCTCATCAAGATCATGATGGGGTCAAGAAATAAATGCCTCTGGTTCCACTTCGGAAGCTAACCATCGCCCCAGAGCACAGTTCCTACACCGTAGATTCACTTGCTACGGATTTGAATTATACGTAACTTCTTAGCAAGACCCAGGTCGTAGTAGCTAACTACTAGTAGTAGTATGGCCCGGTCTACACAGATTTAAGCTTCAGCAGCAACAAAGGAAAAAGAATGTTAAAGAAAGTTATTTATCCGTCTGCATGAATGAACAACTACTTACCAGCTTGCAGGACCAGGATAATTTGTCGCTGGAGTTCCTAGAAGCCGTTAAGTTGTTATGACTGCCTATTTCCAGGTATTTTGTATAGTAGCAAGTAGTATCAACTCAGAAAAGCATCCTGAGTGGACAGTGAGGCGACAGTATGCTGATCACCGGACAGCATTCGGGGAAGATGATCAACATCCATGCTTGGACCAACAATTATCTACTAACTATTTCGGATCAATCACCTGTCAACCATCCATCATCCTTCTCCACCATCACCACCACCATCATCATCATCATAGCATCCCCAAAACTAGTGGCATGCCAATGGATCAGTCCTTCAAAAGTACAGGCACAACATGGCTAATTTATATCTATATTCCAGTCATCTGGGATCTGTCACGGGTACAGCCGTGTTGCCCGTGGCGGAACTATCTGGTTATCTGGTTAGTAAGTAGAAGTAGAAGTATCTGCTGACAGGGATGGATTAGTTAATAAAACTTGCTTGGATGATGGGATTGCAATGAATTCCACGCTGAGACTTGTTGCGACGCATTTACCCCTGCATCTACCTGTGCGTGCTTTTGAAACCATATCCAACACCAACCGGTTTATCTACTGTGCATCTACATACTCAATATATTTCTCAGAGTACTACATGCAACGCCAGGGAGATACACCAGAAAAAAAGAGAGTGCGTGTGATTGGGTGTATAGTGTGTTGCCACCACATAGACCACGTGAGAGGAGATGAGCAAAAACAGTCTTCTTAATATTCACACCATCAAAAAATGGCTTGCATCACATGAAGGCCCGGGCCCATGATCCCGATGCCAATCACTGGCCGGCTGAACCATCCATTCGACAAACCTCAGAGGCTTACAGTAAGCAGTTTTTCCCGGTGTGCAAATGATGTCTTCTCCTTTCTCCCCTGCCCCGCAAAGCTAAAATGTCCATGGGCAGCGCAAAGTGCGGAGGAGCCCACGAGATCCCCGTCCATAGCATGGCCTGGTATCGAATCATCCCTTCCCTTCCCTTCCATGGTCCCCATGTGGATTTGCTTAGGACAGATCGACCCCCTTCCGTGCGTCAGTTGTGACGCAGTCGTACAGATTCAGATATATACAAAAAAAGGGATACTTCGAGACTACTATCTAAACCGTGCTAAATCGACTATCCCGGTCACTATGCAGGATGCAGGCGATGGAATGCTGGGGCAAAGGGGAGAGGCCAAACTACTGGTTACGGAGTACGGAGACTAGATTGCCACTGTCAGTCAGACAGAGGCTCCTGGAATAAACCTGCAGAAAGGATGTTCCATGTTCCGGACGTTTTATTTGATCTCAGACCGGGAAAAACGGCTGAGGGCATCGGCATTGCTTTTTCGCCCTGCAACCCGGGCGACCAATTTGATACTTGCTCCACTCCCCGGAGTTACTTAAAAGATGCCTGCAGTCAATCCATCGACCTGCAGTCAGACAACAACTCCGATCGGGGAGATTTATGTTCCTTGAGGACCGAGGACCTGTAGTAGACGATGTACTTCGTGACGAACCGACTGGTGGTTTGACGCTGAATAGAAGCCCAGTGGAATCTTCTCAGACGGGCAACCATGGTAGCCCGTGTTTCGGGGGGCGCAGGCTCACTCGTCCAACTAATAACAGGACCCTCACTGTAATTCGCCGCTCCGCCCTGGATGGATGGGGTTTCTGGATAGAGCAGACATGGTGCGATGCGCCTCCTCTCCTCTCCTCTCCTCTCTCTCGAAGTATCAGGCTGGTCCCTCTTCGAATGGGGAACCGGTCGTCTCTAGTCGTAAAATTAGTACGTACTACTACCACTACTACTACTAGATACTTACTGCAGACCTGCGCATTCCGTTTGCCCCACAGAGGAGAAGATCTTACCATTTGACTCGCATGGTTGCCATTCTGTTCCGGCATTCCAACCCAAGGGAGATGAAGAAGTAAGAGAAATAGCAACACTTTCCCACCAGCCTCGACTTGGATATTTCCTCCTCCCCTCTTTTCTTGTTCAGTGCGCAATTTATCTCTAATAGTTCCTCCCTTTCTGTCCCCTTCCTTTCCTCCCCTTAGAACCTGTCAAGGATACTTCTATTTTATTGTCCTCCTCCCCTACATCACTGGCCCTGATCGTCTGCCCTGATTCCCAAAGAGACCCAGATTTGCCTCCGGCTCCACCTTCGAACCATTGCAATGCGCCGAAGCAGCGGACAACTCTAAACCTCACTCCTCTGTCCCCGACTGAACCTGAACGGAAGAATTTGAGGACTGTCAAAAAATTAAGATCCCAATTTAGGGCTGTCGCGTCGATCGCACGAGGTGACAGACAACCAGAAAGTGGACAGGAACAGCAGATTCGAGAAGCGATCGTCTCGTGGACCTCTGTTTCCCCCGATCAGCTAACTAACTTAACAACCGACCGAGTTGTCACTCTCGCGAAAGTTGATAAGAGAGTGAGAGAGAGGAGGGTGACAGAAGGAAGAAACATAAGAAAAAGGATCAGAAGACTTGATAAATCCGATCCCTTTCCCACTGAATTTCCAAGAATTAAATCAGGAGAAGCAAAACCCGATTGATTTGACTCTGCCTTGATTTGATTTGATTCACTTTTTATTTTCCTTTTCTTTCTTTGTTTCTTTTCTTTTTTTTTTTCTTCTTCTTTCCCTTTTTTCCCTTTCCCTTTCCAATCCCAACCCCATGTCTGTGTCTGCATCCGTTTCCGCCTCCGCCTCCTCCAACCTCCCATCCGATTCTCGCTCCTCAGGACCCCTCCGTCGTCTGAGCCAACTGCGTGCCTATACGCAGCAGCATTTCTCCTCCTCCGCTTCCTCTTCCTCATCCTCGCACCCTCCTGCCTCGTCATCATCGACCAACGGTCCCCGCATCTCGCGTCGTCATACTCTCAGCAGTCGAGTTTCCTGGTTTTCTCCCGCCTCCACTGGGACCGAGTCTTCGCAACTCTCGCCTGTGGGGTCTCGCTCGTCGGGCCCATGTCCCGAAAGTGAGCAGCCATCCACTCTTGCCCGCTATAGTGCGGTTTTTTTCCCCAGCTACCGCGGCCTCGAGCTCGACTTGCGTTCCTCCCGCCAGTCCGACCTGTCCAGCTCTTCTCCTTCCAACAACCCATCCGGTGGCCGTCAGACCACAGCTCAAGGCACGACCATGGCGCGGCCCAGAGGTGCCTCTCAGGCGCTGGATGCGAGACCTGATCTCGATGCCACCAGTCCATCGGCCTCGTCCAACCTTCACGCGGGAGCCCTCGACTCGTCCGACCCGGTGATGTCGGAGAACCCGTCGACTGCGTCCCCGCGACCGAAGCAGAAAGCGACCATTCGCTTCTTCCCCCATCAAGACACCCATCAAAGCTCCCGACCCTCCTTGCCCTTCATCCCCGTCTCGCGAACGCTGCCGTCTGAAAGTTGCGTCATTCGAGTCGGTCGGTACTCAGAACGCGATGGCCTGCCCGTGGCCAACCCAACGGACCCCTCCGATGCCCCGGTCGGATTCAAGTCGAAGGTCGTGAGTCGGAAACACTGCGAGTTTTTATACCTGAACGGCCAGTGGCATATCAAGGATGTTGGAAGCTCGTCGGGGACGTTTCTCAACCACATGCGCTTGAGCCAGCCGAACATGCCGTCTCGGCTGTATACTGTGAAGGATGGAGATATCGTGCAGCTGGGGATTGATTTTCGGGGAGGCGAGGAGATGATTTTCCGCTGCGTCCGTATACGGATCGAGTGTAATCGGTCCTGGCAGCAGCAGCCGAATGAATTCAAGTATGATGATCTGGCCTCGAAGCTGTTTGTGTGGACTACCGGCTAATGAGCGATGCAGTAAAAACACCGAGAGTCTGATTCGGAATTTGGGCAAGGGAGATACCGCGGATTATTCTGGATGTCGGGAATGCTCTATCTGTCTTGGTTCTGTTCTGGTTTGTTCTCTCCTCCTGGCGGATCGCACAACTGCAGAACACAGCTAATTTGTCTGAAGCGGCCTTATCAGTGTCTGTTCATGGCAGCCTGCGCCCACGTCTGGCATTACAAATGCGTCAGTCGTCTTATCCACACGCCAGACTACCCCATGTTCCAGTGTCCCAACTGCCGTGCCTACACCGATTTAAGCGCCGAGGTCGATGATACAAACGATTTTGACGAGGAGGACGAGAAGAAGGACACGCCAGAGGACAAGCAGGATACCACTGATGCGTCTCGGTCACAAACAAATTCCCCCCAGTTGGAGGCCCAGCCAGCCTCTTCTGGCGACGAACCCCGCCAGGACAACCTGCCGGCCGAGGCAGGCCTCGCTGCCAATATTGAGAGCATGCGTCTGCAAGACACAGATGCATCCGATGATGCGCGGCGTCCCCCCGCTCCCACGTCCAACAATGATGGCACCCCTGTTAATGCCGATAATGAAGTCCCTGGCTGGCAGTCCGTGACCCAGTCACCCAATGCTCTGCAGGCCCGCCAGTCCCACCTGCGTGCGGACACCCCTGTCCGGTCGGAGTCATCTGAGGACAATCCTTTGACGCCATTGAACGATTCGGGGCCCCTAGCCCTTGACGGCCGGGCCGCCATGCCCTGAAGCAACGAGGAGTGTGGTCGCGACATTATTGGATAGATCGCTCCGATCCGCTCCTCAACAGCTGTATTTGGCTTCTAGATTTGGACAACCCTTGCATCCAGTCCACAGGACTGAGTCGTCATTGATATGTGCATTCCTATTGTCGCCTTGGTTTGATGTCTTTTGTCTTTTGCATTCTCGAGCCGTATTTCATGTCCCATTGTTATTAGCTTCTTAAGTCCCAGCATTGAGCATCGCGATTGTTTCTTTCCCCTCTGCTTCCCCATTTATCCTCTTTCACCCCACCTATTCCACCTATTTTATACCCATTTGCAGCATCCTTTCTCCCTTACACACACTCCCTCTCACTCCATCCCGTTCGGCACTGGCTATTTCACCATCAACACAGTGGACCACCTACCATGCCATGCCTTGCGAACCGCACCCGGCTTGGAGTACACACACGGGAGTCATCTTCTTTGGAAACCCGGAGGTTGGCGTTTGCAGTCAGTCAGTAGTGGCCCCCTTTTAATTTGTTTTTGGTTTGTCCGGAACGGTGATTCATTGGCGCGCATGAATGGGTGTGGTTGTGAGATGTACATACCAGCTATACATATATTCCATATTTTATCCAATACCTACTTACCCAGATTTATCATCCCTGTCCGAAATTAAGCACCACATTGCAAGATCAATTCCCCTGTCCTTGTGATGCGAGGTAACACTAGAACGCAGCATCGTGATGCTCGGTGGGTTGGCCGGCTGGCTGGCAGTCTGTTCAACCCACCCCCACCCACTATTAGTATCTTTATCATCTCCAATAGTACTACCACCACCACTACTACTACCATTTAGCTACCCACGAAGTACTACTACACAACCTACGGTACAATACCATACCGTTCATTCTGACAGTAACTACAGTAGTAATACTTAATAGGAGGATCATCCATTGCCCAACCGTTCCATGTATATATCGCCATTGACATACTTGAAGAAAACAAACATTCTCTCGAAATTCAAGTACGGCTACCTACTAATTACTTATTGACTGCTGTGAAGTTCAATTAAGTTATTACGAGCAGGTACATGTTTAGTATTCTAATGAATATATATATATAGTCTTAGTAGTGGTAGTATCTCCTTCAGATCATTAATTCGTAATAGTTAGATAATAAGCACAAACAGTAAGTACTAGTAGTAATGTGTTCTGCATACACAATAGTAAGTACTAAGTACATTAATAGTAGTAGTACTGGGGAGATAGAAAGTATGTATACATGAGTCAGTACTGACTACTACTACTACTACTACTACTTAGTACTGCTTTAGTTGCGCTAGTTACTGAAAACAAAGTCGACATCACTTACGTACAACTTTTTGAGTTGCATAATTGGCATGACCTGGGATTTAGTTCAGTACTACTAGTACTACTGGCTATTTAGCTTAGCTTAGTAGTATAGATAAGATGGAAGTTAGGCATTTACAATTCTGGATATTTGTTTATCAATGGTGGATTGGATTGATTTCCCTTCTCACTTCAATCTGATAATAGTACACACCCAGTTCATTAAGTCACATAAAAGAAAACACAAATAAAAAAAATGGACAATTCGCTGGTATCAATCAATCATCTCATGTCATCTCAGGCCCAGTCTTCTTTTATCTCCTGGCCCATCCCATGTCATCATGAAATAGTTCAAGTTCAGTTCTAATAAACATCATCTCTTAGCTCAACCAAGCCCTCAAAACCCCCGCTGGGTGCCAAGGGTCCCGCGGTTGTCGAGGTCCGAGTCGACGCGGGGGTCGAGCTTGTTAGCCATGTTGGAGCTGTGAGGGCCGGCGGTGGTGCTCTGGCCAGTAGTGTTGTAGCTGCTGCTGGCCATTCCCTGGTGGCGGGCGCGGTTGTCCATGTCCGAGTCGACGCGGGGATCCATCTTGTTGGCCATGTTGGAGCCGTGAGGGCCTGCGTTGCTGCTGCCACCGTAGCCGCTGCTGGTGGTGTAGTCGTTCACGCCGCTGCCGCCGTAGCCGGCACCTGCACCGCTGCCATAGCCTGCACCAGTTCCTGTACCGCCGTAGCCTGCACCAGTACCTGCGCCGCCGTAGCCTGCGCCGGTGGTGTGGGTGCCGGAGTAGCCGCCAGCGGCACGGTTGTCTGGTTTGGGTGTTAGTATTTTGTTTGATGGTATAAAGGATGCTGGGTAAGGGGGTATGTATGTACCTCTGTCACTGTCAACGCGGGGGTCCATCTTGTTCGCCATGCTGGAGTCGTGAGGGCCGTGAGCACCGCCCATGGCCTGGTGACGGGCACGGTTGTCGCGGTCACTGTCGACACGGGGGTCCATCTTGTTGGCCATACCGGTCTCGTGAGGACCCGAAGAGTAGCCACCGGAGGAGTAGCCGGCACCGGAGCCGCCCATACCGCCGGTGGGGTTGGCACGGTTGTCACGGTCACTGTCGACGCGGGGGTCCATCTTGTTGGCCATGCTGGAGTCGTGGGGGCCGTGAGCGCCGCCCATGGCTTCGTGGCGGGCGCGGTTGTCTGGGGAGTATGTTAGTATCGTGTTATTGGGAAAGATTTGATGGGGATAGCTTACCGCGGTCGCTGTCGACGCGGGGGTCCATCTTGTTGGCCATGTTGGAGGAGTGGGGACCAGCGTTGGAGGAAGAGGTGTTGGAGGAAGAGGTGTTGCTGGACTCCTTGTGGTGGCCAGTCACGGCATCCTTAACCTTGTGCATAAGTCCGGACATGATGGGCAATTGTATGTGTGATTTGTTTCGAAATTGAAGTTAGAATTGTAGATAGAGAGTTGAAATGTGGTAGTTGTAGACAGTCAGATAAGCTGAATCAGTTATTGTGTTGATGATGAGGATCGAGATTTCTTGGAGACCAGCCAGGTTTAAATAAGGAGTGGTGAGTGAAGAGACGCCTGGCCATGACGTAGCGATACGTCGAGTGGCCGCATTCACTCCTGGACGTGCCCTGGTCCGGCGAAGTGACTTGATGGCGGTTGAGTGAAAGATTGATTGAGTTCACCTCCTTCACAATGGCGGGCTGGTAGGATGACGTTGAGATGTGCTCATGTTGCTCAGCCCTAAAGCAGCGATGGATATGGTCTTTGTCATTGTTCTCTGTTTAGCAGCGTCGAAAGCGGCAGGGAATAGCTTCCACGGATGTCGATCGTTCCTAGGCGGGACGTTAAGTGGTAAGTGGCTCCGCATCTTGTGTAAGGCCAGATTAAGAAGTCGTCTATTTTTGTCTCGCCCAGCGTGTCCAGCCAGTTACTGCCTTCTGGCCAAGTCTGGGGTTGTTGGAGATGTGCATCAGTGAAGATGAGTCAGCAATACATGGCGGATGATGACCTCAGCCAGTGTGTCGATGTCGTCGGCCAAGCTTAGATGCATGGTACTTATTGGCTGCAGATGTGAATTGCGGGGATTAGGGGAGAGCAAGACCCACCCACACGAATCCACTTGCTGCGGGCCCAGATGGTGCCTCCGATCAAATGGGGATCGGTCTTCCCCCTCCATCTGGCATGCCAGATTGAGCTGCACACCTTATTCTTTAGGATTATTTTAGTATCCGCACTAGCCTACTGCACTGTGTACCTCCGGAGAACAAAGAAGACTTGTATTCCAGAGATATCTGGTGGCGCGGTCTCGTATACGGCGGGTGTAGGATAGAGAATACTATAGTTCGGGCTCCTGCCGGCTTACATCACGGATTGACCCGATCCAGATTATGACTACCCGTTACGTGGGCGGAAGCATATCACTGCCGTTTTGATACTATTCGCTTGCCAAGGTCTCACTATGCATGATGCAATCTGCGTGAACCAAGCTCCCCATAGTGCTGTGCACGTTGACGATATTCCTACTTTAGCAGTTCGGTCTAGTTTGGACGGGATATCGAAGAGCTCTTTGTCCTGTTCCTGAAATTGCCTTGCTGGCAACACTGGGTGAATCCTTGGAAGGCTGGAGACGTAAGCGGCTGTCAGATCTACACCCGCCCGTCCAGTGGAGTGTACAGTTGTGAGTGGCTTGCATCGCTAGCAGGGTTGGCAGAACGGTCTAGCTCGTAACAGCATGCACCTCCGTGTAGACGTTCGTCATTCAATCCGGCCTAAAATGGTGTGTGTCTCTTGCAAACAGGCTTGGGCATCCTGAGCTCTCAGTCACTACAGTATCATGTCCAAGACCTTGAGTGCTGCGCCGCCAGCAATGTAGGTAATTGTATTTCGGACTTCGGTGGAGAATTCCCAATGGTGCTGCTAAATGAGGTGGAGTGTCACCGGGACAGCCAGCTACCCTTGTATGGAATGACTGTTTGTTTCTGCGGCCATCTCGGATATAGAATATTTCTTGGCCATATCCAGGAAATCTGATGGTTTCGCTTGGCTTCTACCATGAACGCGTCAATCGCTGGCTGGAACTCAGGCGCTGCGTCTAGTTGCAGTGAAGATCTAGAAGAGGTATTCGGACTACTTTCACTGTCCCGACTGTTAATGGCATCCGAAATGAGTTTAATGATGTCCTCGTTTCCACACTCCGTGGCATGTGTAAGCAGTTTTGTGCCATAGTGGTCCTCTGAATTTGGGTTCACTCTGCCGGTCTTGAGCAGTAGTGCAACGATGCTTCTATGGCCTCCCTGGCAGGCAAGAGCCAGTGGTGTCTTGCCATGGTTGTCCTGTACATCAGGATCGACCTCATCGTTCTCAAGTAGTAGCCCGACTATCACATCATGGCCATAATAAGAGGCCTGCGCGAGCGGCGTCTTACCACCGGCATCCCGACAGTTCGGGTCAGGTATCCCGGTACTCAGGAGTGACTTGACAATATTCCCATGTCCCGTGAGTGCAGCATGCAGTAGTGGAGTGCGTCCATACTTGTCCTTAGAGTTGAGGTCTTTGACTCCAAAGTCGAGCAGTATCCGAACAATACTTCCGTGGCCACGGTGTGCTGCTCGTGAGAGTAAAGTCATACCTCTACTGTCTTTCCGATTGGGATTAACTCTCCCGGTGTTCAGTAAGAAACTGACAACATCTTCATGCTGAGCATCTGCTGCGTAGACAATGGGTGTAAGCCCAGCATAATCCACGAAATCTGGATCGACCTTGCCGGTAGCAAGAAGCATCTTGATGATATTGAGATGGCCACGTCCCGCTGCATACCCAAGGGCGTTCTTCCACTAAAGGCCCGCATGTCGGGGCGTATCCCTTGCTTGCTGAGCAGGAGGCTGACTATACTCTCGTTACCATTATATGCTGCATGTGCGAGTGGCGATAGCCCACTATTGTCCACTTCGTTCACATCAATCCACCGCGTTGTTCGGAATAAGAAGGGGAAAGACCAAGATTGTCTGAGCAGGAGTTCCAGCACGTCAAATGTCCCATACTCTGCTGCGAGTGATAAGGCCGAACGACCATAGGTGCTCCTATAATTCAGATCGATATCTTTGTCTTGTAGTAGCGTCTGAACGGTACGATGTAATCCCAGCCATAATGCTCGCATCAGAGTGGTTGAGGGAGTGGGCTGATGTATAGATGCTGGCTCGTTATTGAACCCAAGACAGAAGGCTTCACCGCGGCGAATGATGTCCATTATCTGTGAGTGTGTCGTTGGGTCCTCTTCGATACCAGAGGATAAGACATGCTTGCTCCAATTTTTGACAGCATATTCAAGGAAGGGAGTCCTATTGAACTTCATTATAAGGTCCCTTTGGTCTTTTAAGGCCATTTTTGGATCCGTAGAATGGAGAAAACCCACACAAGCCTTCGCCAATATCCATTCTGAGTCATGCGGAATCAACGAAGCTTTCCACGTCAGGTCCGGAATTGGCTCACTTTTACCTTCCTTATACACCAAAAAATCTCTCGCGGTCTCGTGTAGGAGGTATATTCTTGAATCGATGATAGTGATGAAAAGACCACATATTTCCCGGATTGACCGTTTTGTTCGATGCTCTGGCTCGATCTCAAGCTGGTCTTCGGGTGATTTCCGGTCTAATACAGCCACTGCAGTAGCCATATCCGCCACCGTCAGAGGTGTATTTGCGGCAACGACAATATGTAAGATTTTCATCGCCCGATCGGGGTCTGGAGTGCGGCGTAATATCTGATCGTAAGCTTCGTCAAGGGAGCGCGGTAGTCTTCTGATCGCTGCACGTATACTAGTGGGAGTGACCGTCAATATATCGTCTAAGGTACTCATGATGTGATCGATCCACAGATATGTTCGATTTTGAACGGAGGTCAGCTCAGAGAGAAGAAGATTGCGCTCGTCTGCCAGAAGTTGTAGCCTGTCTGCAAGCTCCTCTACTCGAAGCTCTATGACCATATTGATCTCTCCCGCTATCTTCTGTACCTCATCGTTATCTTCTCCACGTAGGTGAATGGCTGGGAAGTTATTCTCTAGAGACTGAAACCTTCTCTGAATAGCGCTATATGGTCGACTGGTGACGAGAAATTTCAATTTCGAAGACGCCGTTGTGTTTTGGTAGAGGTTGGTCAAACATTCGGTCAGTTGTGATTGTTCGTCGCACCCACATTCATCCAAGGCATCCAGAACACAAATAACTTGCTCATCCGGAAGCTCCTCCGCCAGATCGCAAAGAATAGACCACAAGCTCCAGACCGATTGATATATGTGACCAGTCTCACTTTCGAACCTGGATCGGAGACGGTCGGAAAGCAGGCGCGGTATTTGCTCGAAGATCTGATGGAGAATGCAGCATAAAGCATCCACAAGGGATTTCCGATTCTCGAAATCCTCCTTGAAGAAGAAGTAGCAGACCACACTTGTCTCTGAACTAAGCAGAACTTCATTTAAAAGATATCTGGCCAGGACAGATTTTCCACAGCCAGGGTCGGCTGAAACCCAGAGAAGGCCCGGTCCATGGTTTTCTCTCCAATTCTGAAAGAGTTGATGGTTTGTGAACCATTGAAAAGTCCCCTCAACTCTTTGTGGGTTCCTATCCTTAGCATTTAGATAGTTGCAGGTATACAGCTGCTTGAGAACGTTGGCTTTCCACTCTGATGAATGTTCTTCGCGCGGTGTATTATCTATAACAATGTTAATATATTTCAATATCAACGCAGGAGCAATTATTGGGCACATACAGTGAGGCTCCATGTACATCAGGGCTTCTTTCGCTAAGGCTGCAGCTGCGCCTGCAGCATAAGCATGCCAGTCATCGTTTTTGTGAGAGTCACAATAATCGGAAATTCCACGAATGACAACGCATTGGAATTGGTCCATAAGTCCGGCAGCCTCCATCTCACAACACATAGCGCCACCTGACTCCCTTGCTATGCTGTCCCGCTTTGTGCCATCTTTGATGACACGGTTTCCTGACGCTATGATGCCATAGAAGACGCGTGACTCGTGAGGCAGTGTTCGCGGAGCTCGTTTCACGGCCTTAGCTGCGTCACAAGAGACACAGCTTTCCCCGTCCTGAGCGTGGATATAGTCCGCTGGGAACAAGATATCGGTCTCCGGCAGTGGCCTTTGATACTCTGTTAATGTGGGATATTTGCGCAACATATCCGACAGAAATACTGCAATCCGGTTTGCTCGGACTTGGTGGTCTGAGGCCATGTTTGCCATAGCCTTTCTCCACTCAGCAGGCGGAGGACACAGTACACCCTTCCTCTTGAACCCGTTTGTGGTTTCTTTACCCAAATCATATTCGACTACTCCTCCAATAAGACCGTCAGGAGCGCTTACAACCACATCCCCAAGACGAATATCGTTAGCAAGGCTAGGAATGCCACCACCTATGCCCACCAACAAACGAAGCTTGATTGCCGAGAAAGTGCGAATTAGGTGGATGGCGACGGCCGCCGCGGATGCCGTTCCCTGTGACCCCTTTGGGAGTGCCGCGAGCACAACATTGTGCCCACTCAAGGATCCAAGTATGTATATGTTTGGATCTTTTCTGTTTCCCAGAAGCATTCCATGCTCTTCGTCAAGCATGTATCGAGCCGCACTCAGTTCAACCTCCAAGGGGCATATTAATGCGACCGTGTACGCCTCGTTGTTAAGACGCCGTATGGAAGTGCTAGGCATTTTCCATCGGCCTGCCGTCAATGAGTTAGGAAGGAGAGAGTTTCTAGGATCATAAGGCCTAGAACATGCCCAAGGTCAGTATGCGACATATGAAGTTCCCAGTGAGGTGCGGAGAGCAGGGCTCAGCCTCGCGCTGATGACTCGTGCCTTCGTGCACCAATAAACACCGAGATCTTAAGATAGTACCGAAGGTACCATTTGAATATATAATCTCTGGTATGGTATCATGATTCCGCTTGACCTAACGCTGATGTTGTTGATGTAGCGAGAGAAAACGAAGGCCGGACATAGAAGCCCCTCCCCAAACCTTCTTGCTTCCCGAGATGAAGATAATCATTTTAAAAATGGGAGAACCGCGATTGGAGTGTGATGAACAACATTCGTTCGTATTACATCTTCCCAGCGCTTGCCAGGCGGCAAGCCGACGAACTGCAACGAGAGGATCGGCTCCCGCTAGTAGATAGTCGCAACAGAACCAAGTCTGTGCCACTCCAAAGGCGCCGAAACATAATTAATTCTGCGTAGGCTGATTCGAATAATATAGTTAGGACTGAAGAGATTCAAAGTTGTGGTTTTCACGTACTAGTCTTGACCTATCCCAAGTTATCCGAGGGAATATGTATCCACTTCTTATCATCACTTACAGCACATGATGCATTCGCAGCCCTCTATGATCTATCTGGGTTTTAACTTCTCCTACTATCCAAATTGGATATATCATCGTGGCCAAACCAGGTCAAAGTACGTGGAAGTCAACTGGTTGGCGGAGGTGTTGTGAGGAAATAGAGTTCTGGGCGAGGCAGCCCCGTGAAGATGGATTCACCAACCACAACATCCGGCGGCTGGTTGATCCCCCGCGAGTTGTCCCTAATTTCTGCACGATGATGCCACTCCTTATCTCGCACCAATTCCAAAGAGACTCATATGATATGGTCTGCCAGACAAGCGCACTAAATCAGGAGAGTCCTTTCACCAACGCCGACTCGCCCTATCGTTCCACCTCGACTAAGCAACTAACCCAAGTTTGACAAAGCGGACGGGCTGTTGACCGCTAGACGCAAATTCTTTCACGCTGTGTACAAAGACCACCTCTTCTATTTCTGTGTCTCTCCTCCCTCAGTCAGATTGAATTGGAGGCAAATATGCGATTGAATTTCAGTCAACCCCCGACACCGGCGTTGAGTCGGCAGAACACTACGTTCCTTAACAATGCGCATCACTATCGCGCAGGGACCCATCCGCATCTCCTGACGAGTCGGAGCAAGCCCCGAAGGTAAACAATATTGATGGCTCACAAGTTTGAATCTTACTATAACATTATGCTGAATACGCGCCATATCAGATGGCCTCTGGTGTTCCGGTTCATCAAAGGCGCTATCCACGCGGCCATTCTGCTGCCCGTCTTCCTGCACGCCGCATTCACAGCCTTTGTGGTCTATCTCGATATCTATGTCTTTGATACGGTTGGACTACCGAGCAGTATTGTAGGTCCCACTCACATGCATGTTATCGCGCTTTCAGATCTGATCATGCAACCGTAGATCCCATCCTTGTCTATAGTCGTGGGTTTGATGCTCGTTTTCCGCAACCAAACCTCCTACAACCGGTTCTGGGATGGGCGTAATGGAATGAATACAATTTATACGTGCATTCGCAACCTAGTCAGGACCATCGTCACAAACGGCTACAGCACTGCAGGTCCTCCCACTGCCGCGGAGAAAGAGGACATCGAGCGGACGATACGGATCCTCATGTCGATTCCCTTTGCAGTCAAGAACCATCTTCGCGCTGAATGGGGAGCGGCGTGGGCTCTAGGAAATGATGTAGCCGAGAACGGTGTCGCAGCGTTTAACCCCGATTATGCAAGTCTCCTTCCAGCTGGACTGGTGGGCCACGAGGATGAGGGGCTGGGATTACCGTTTCAACTAACCTTCTTCGTGGATGGGTTTATCAAGAGGGGAGTGGAGCGCGGCTGGTTCAACGCTCCTGGGGCAAGTCAAATGCAGGCTCAGTTGAATTCATTGATGGATGCCTATGGCAGAATGGAGACCATCAAGCTGACTCCTATTCCGGTTGCGCACTTGTAAGTCCCTTCATCTTGAACCACCCCTTTACCTCTCCACGCCAGCTCACATGTGAAAGGATCCACCAAAAACAAGTTCTCGCTCTCTTTGGTTGCGTTTTACCCTTCGGTATGGTTGACGATATGGGGTGGTGGACCGTTCCCATGGTCAGCCTAGTCATCTTCACCCTATATGGCATCGAAGGCATCGGCTCGCAATTAGAAGACCCTTTCGGGTACGACCGCAATGACATCAAGATGGATGCCATTGTCGGCGACGCCAAGACCGAAATTGAAGTCGTACTGGCCGAATGGCGCCGACTGATGGCGTCGCTCGAGTCAGGCTCGGTGACCGATAATGGCGATCAGCATCTCGGCAACGGTTTGGTTGTGGATGAGGAGGTTAAGGAGCAGAAATTCATGCCGCCTGATATGTTCCTCAAGCATCGCGCGAGACCATCCGGGCGATAAGTAGCTAGCCAGCTATTTCTGATTGCGATGGTTCCCGGAAACTGGGCGTTGTGGAGATCGAGCAGATCTAGCGTCACTAACAGGGAACTATCACCTTAGACCATCTCGGTTACAAGAGATCGACGCCCTATCAGCCTGTCAAGCATGCGAGTGATAACCTAGGAGGATAATTTCATCCTTGCGATCGTCAGGGGATATCTCCATCGAGTAATTCGGATCATTGCTGGACCAATCCGACATCGTCGACCTATCAAGTCTATAGTTTCTTTTTTTGTATTTTCCGAAATAGCTCCACTTTCTGTGCATGCCCTCAATATCATGAACATGAAAATGAACCATACATATAAAAGCCACCACGAGACCCCTCAAATACCAAACAACAAAAATTCATCATCAACTAAACAATCCCAAACCACCTTATCCACAAATCTTAAAACTCCCATCAAAATGAACCTCCTCCCCCTCCTCCTCACCCTCACCACCTTCCTCCTCCTCCCCCTCACAACAACAGCCTTCACCTCAACCTTCCAAAACTGCCAAAATCTCAACCGCCTCAACCAAACCGTCCACCGCGTCCACCCTCTCCTGGAAAGATTCTCCTCTGTGCACGCCTCCAAATCCCAATCAGCCGTCACCACAACCACCACCCTCGCCAACGGAACCACCATCACAGTCACAAACACTACCTCCTCCGCTGCAGTCGAGAGGATCGAAGGCGTTAGGGCTCTTCTTCTCTCCTCCCAGGAGAAGATCTATGGCCGGTTGAGTAACTGCTCGAGTGATGCGGTGGTAGCGCCCCGGAATATGCTGGTGAAGGGCAGCGTGAAGCGAGATGACGACGACGAGGACGATGAATCTTGCACTTTGACTGATGTTTTGGATCAGTTGGTGGATACGTTGGAGTGTGTGTTGAGCTTTGCGACGGGATTGTTGGAGACGATTCTTGATGGGGTTTTTGATTTGTTGAAGGATGTTATTGAGGGGGTGGAGAAGTTGTTGTAGTGTGTTTTATCATGTTTTTGGATAGGGGGTTAGAGGGGAGTTGGGAGCGGATCTTTAAACTGTATAATTGATTATAGGAGGAGGGCTTCGACGCTTATCAGGGAAATGATCCTTTGCTGGATCGTGTCGTGTTGCAAAATACCCATTTATATACTTGATATACTTGATATACTCGTCGAGTATAGTCATCAATTTACTTAATGAATTCTGTCACCGTTAGCCTGAGGATGGGTTGTAGAATTGCATTAAAGTATATGTACATGATTGTGTCAATCATAACGGTGCTTCTAATGTAAGCACCCCGTCCAATATTGAATCCGGGTTCGCGTACTCAAGCACCTGCGACACGGCCTGCAGGTCACTCCCGTATTGCAGGCTTCTATCCTCTTCGGGTTTGGCCACGATGATCCGATGTCGAAAGACCTTTCTGGCTGCTAGTGCTACGATTGAGGGCGTGAGGAAGTCGATGCCGTGTAATACGGCGAGGAGTCTGTTGCAATTAGTGCTTTGCTTTAGCATACAGGGAATGAATAGGATGATCTCACTTTGAAAATGACTTGAAATAGAGGTTTGACCGCGTTGATATTCCCCCAGCTACGGCGCGACTGAGCCGAAGGAACACGACTATGTCTTGTTGGTACCGGGCTATTTCGGCGCCCATGCTGACCGTGGTGCTTAGTTGTTGTAGTTGTTCAAGGAGCTGGTTGTTATGTTCTTGTTAGTGGGATTTGGTTCGATGACCAAGGTAGGGGGGGAGACGAACCGTGATATCTACATGAGGATGTCCTTTCTTCGTTTGAGCTTCTGGCTTGTGGATAACGGATGATGCGGACAGCTGGCCATCGGAGAGCCAGTCGTTGTTTTCTTCGAGGTAGACGTAGCCGTCTTCTGTGTCGTGAAAATGAGAGATGAACAGGTAGTCGTTCTAAGTGGGGTCAGTTCACTGAGTGATGGAAATATACCGGTGGCAGACATACTAGATGAGAGTTTAATTGTGGGGTTTCATCGCGCACTATAAGAGGTAGGAACAGAAAATAGGTTGGGGCTTTCAAGATTCCTGCCGGTGTGGTGAGTTGCTTCGAGTGCATTAACTGTATGAACCAGTCATTATCACATTCTGTTTTGGATGTAATTGTGTTTACCTCGAGAGCTTCGCGCTGGATATTGTCGTCCACATAGTTGAAGTGCTTAGCTATTACAACATTGACGACTTCCTGCTTGTGCTCGATAGGGGCTGACTTGAGGCGTCCTTTATGATCTCGAAGGTCATGATATGAGGATATCACACCCGCCTTATCTTATTAGCCTAGCAATAAAGTGGACCAAAACAGTCGAATTGACATACCGACTCAGTGGTCATTCGTGAGCGCGAAGGCCGAGCATAACTGCTCCTGTAAAGACCGGGAGGAAGTAACTCAGCACGAAAATCTTCTAAAGACGTAGCACTAGAGCAATCAAGAATGCT